AGGCCAGCTCCAGCTCCAGCCGGGCAGGGGGCCCTGACTGGCCAGAAGCCTCCGAGGGTCCCCCCAGCAGGACCATCCGGGCACCTGCCATGAGGACCCTGCAGCGGTTCCAGAGCAGCCACCGCAGCCGGGGTGGAATGGGGCCAGTGCCCGGGGGCGTCCTGGAGCCCATGACCCGGGCACCCTCGGTGCGCAGCCTCAGCCTCAGCCTGGCCGACTCGGGCCACCTGCCCGACATCAGAGGCCTGGACAGTTACAGCGGCCACCGTGCCCTGCAAAGGCTCAGCAGTGGGTGAGCACCTCAGGCTGAGGAATGGGCTGCTCAGTGGTCGCAGCAGCCCCACATCAGCCTGACTCCTTGTCTCTGGTTCCACAGCTTTGACGACATCGACCTGCCCTCTGCAGTCAAGTACCTCATGGCCTCTGACCCCAACCTGCAGGTGCTGGGGGCGGCTTATATCCAGCACAGATGCTACAGCGACGCAGCAGCAAAGAAGCAGGTGACCATGACGACCTGGGTGAACCACAGAAAACTCTGCTTGGCCCTCTCATTGGCCCCTCTTTCGGTGCCTCTGAACAGCCCTTACTGACACTGCTGGCCCCATCCTGCCCAGAGCCCTCAGCAGAGATGGGGCAGGAGAGAGTCGTCTGCATAGGCGTTTACATATATCTGCACAGGTGTTCGCATGTATCTGAATATCGCGCATGCATTTGCATACATCTGCATACATCAACCAACCCTTCACACACCTGTTACCATTTGTGTACACCTCCATGGGCTCACACACACCTGCACATAGGCACCAACTCTGTATGTCTGTACCTGCAGGCCCGCAGCCTCCAGGCTGTGCCAAGGCTGGTGAAGCTCTTCAACCACGCCAACCAGGAGGTGCAGCGGCATGCCACGGGCGCCATGCGCAACCTCATCTATGACAACGCCGACAATAAGCTGGCCCTGGTAGAGGAGAACGGCATCTTTGAGTTGCTGCGGACGCTGCGGGAGCAGGATGACGAGCTGCGCAAGAATGTAACAGGTGGGCTGGAGAGATACTACAGTTGCCAGGACATTTGCCCCGCACAAGGCTGACCTAGGTTCCATCTCCAGCATCCCATATGGTTCCTGGAGCCCGCTAGGAGTGATCTCATTCCTGAACACTGATTCAGGACTACCACTGAGCACTGTTGGGTGTGATCCAAAACCAAAAGAAAATAAAAGAGAATGTCCCAGGTGCCTGGTCCCAGCCCAGCATCTACCCTCATGAGTCCTTGTCCTGTACCCCCTCCCCGGGCACCTGCCCTTACAGGCACCTGTCTCATATACTCCCTCCTAGAAACACCTGCCCTCATAAACACCTTATTGTATCCCCCATTCCCCACACCTGCCCTCACAGACACCTGTTCCATAAACCCTCACCCTGGCACCTGCCTTTACAGTGCCTGGTCCCACTGTCCCCATACTTCCCCTCTCTTGGCCTCTGGAGAAAGGACCCTCGCTTCCATATGCCATCCTGCCCTCCACTTGGGTGTGCTTGTGGTGTGTCTAGTTGGAGCTCCCTCCACCCCAGGTGGCATGTCCTCCAATACTCTCATCTTGCCCCACTGTCACTGTGACACTGCAGGCCATACCTGGGGCACCCCAGCAGCTGGGGGAGAAAAGTGCCCGGCAGGTGCTAGCAGAGGAAGGGCCCTCCCTGCTCTCCACCAGACCCAGAGCAGCCAGAGGTCTGAGGGAACCCTGACCACAGCCTGGACCCCTGCCCAGGGATCCTATGGAACCTGTCCTCCAGCGACCACCTGAAGGACCGCCTGGCCCGAGACACGCTGGAGCAGCTCACAGACCTGGTGCTGAGCCCCCTCTCAGGGGTGGGTGGTCCCCCCCTCATCCAGCAGAATGCGTCCGAGGCTGAGATCTTCTACAATGCCACTGGCTTCCTCAGGTGCATGGGTAGGCGGGCTGCAGATGGTCATGTCATAGGGACAAGTCAAAGAGGACTCTAGAACCAGGGTCCAAGTGATGATACAGTTCGGCCATGGGGGCTGGGAGAGACATATGGAGCAGATGGAAGAGACCAGGTCAGGGTCTGAGGGGCAGGTGGGCGTGTGGAGGGGTGGACCCTGAGTGTCAGGAGGACAGAGGGGACAGGGGCTGCTCAGAAAAGGCCTGGTCAGAGGGCCACGCCCAGCTCTCAGCCCTTAGGCTTGGGTTTGTTCAGGGGGCTCCTCAGTGAGTGTGCGGGCTGAGCAGTGGGAGTCTCTGGAGGGGAAGAGGGGGTCTCTGATGTGCCTCTATCCACAGGAACCTCAGTTCAGCCTCCCAGGCTACTCGTCAGAAGATGCGTGAGTGTCATGGGCTGGTGGACGCCCTGGTCACCTACATCAACCATGCTCTGGATGTGGGCAAGTGCGAGGACAAGGTGAGGGGAGAGGGAGAGGGAGGCAGCTGCTGAGGTGGGTCTGGGCTGCTCTGACACAGTGCTCCACAGAGCGTGGAAAACGCCGTGTGTGTCCTGAGGAACCTGTCCTACCGCCTGTACGATGAGATGCCGCCATCCGCCCTACAGAGGCTCGAGGGCCGGGGCCGCCGTGATATGGCTGGGGGGCCGCCCGGTGAGGTGGTCGGCTGCTTTACGCCCCAGAGCCGGCGGCTTCGAGAGGTGGGTGAAGGTCCAGGGGGTGCTGTGGAGGTCCCGCCTGAGCCCCGCCTGAGATCTGCTGACCCTATGCCAACTTCCTCCCATCCCGCTGCCAGCTGCCCCTCATGGCTGATGCACTCACCTTTGCTGAAGTATCCAAGGACCCCAAGGGCCTCGAGTGGCTGTGGAGCCCTCAGATTGTGGGGCTGTACAACCGCCTGCTGCAGCGCTGTGAGCTCAACAGGCATACAACAGAGGCTGCAGCGGGAGCGCTACAGAACATTACCGCAGGCGATCGTAGGGTGAGTTCTGTTGTAGGGCAAACCTGTGGCAGAGATGGACCCGAACTCCTGGAGAGTGGGGGGGGGGAAGCCCCAGCCAGGCAAGGCATATGGACCACTGGACCCACACTCTCAAATCCACTGCAGGGAGAGACCCTGGCTGAGGAGAGCCAAGGCTCCTCTAGGTTCAGGGTGAGGTGCGTGGGGGTGTGATTCCACAAGGGATACCCCCTCCCCACGCCCCGGTGTTGAGACCCGTGGGTGCCCAAACCAACAATGAGGAACCACCCTTTCCCTTTGCAGTGGGCGGGTGTGCTGAGCCGCCTGGCCCTGGAGCAGGAGCGCATCCTGAACCCACTGCTGGACCGTGTGCGCACTGCTGACCATCACCAGCTGCGCTCACTCACCGGCCTTATCCGGAACCTGTCCCGCAATGCCAGGAACAAGGATGAGATGTGTGAGTCAGTCTCCTGCAACCCAGCCCTGCTGGACCTGCCCTGACGCTCACAAGGGGCCTCCTTCCCACTCTCCCACGGGCTGAAGTCAGGGAACTGGGGACAGTGCAGGCAGTGGGGAGCAGGGTGGGGACTGACCTCCCGACTCTGCTGCAGCCACCAAGGTGGTGAGTCACCTGATCGAGAAGCTGCCGGGCAGCGTGGGAGAAAAGTCACCCCCAGCTGATGTGCTGGTCAACATCATAGCTGTGCTCAACAACCTGGTCGTGGCCAGTCCCATTGCCGCCCGGGACCTGCTCTACTTCGATGGGCTGCGTAAGCTCATCTTCATCAAGAAGAGGCGGGACAGGTAAGGCCCGCCCCTAAGCACCCCAATCCCCAATCTCTGCCCATGTGCCATACCCCCTGCTAACCCTTGCTCCCCCAGTCCTGACAGTGAGAAGTCCTCCCGAGCAGCCTCCAGTCTCCTGACCAATCTGTGGCAGTACAACAAGCTCCACCGAGACTTTCGAGCGGTACGTTCTGGGGCCAGATGCCGGGATGAAGGAGAGGCCCTGAGGGGTTGGGAGGGCAGGGTTGTGGCCGGTGGGCATCACCTCACTCCACTGTGTTCACTGCAGAAGGGCTATCGGAAGGAGGACTTCCTGGGCCCCTAGGCAGCCCCTTCCTGGAGAACACGGCGTGACGAGGTCCAGCCTGAGGGACAAGCTCAGCTGTTGCTTGCTGGCCAGCCCAGAGGGAAACGCTGAGGGCCCAGGGTCTTCACTGGGATCCTGCGCATCTTGGTGGGGCCTGGGTCACCAGGGAGGGGACGGGGGCTTGTGGCCGGGATCTGGGCTTCTGCAGGGCAGGGGTGGGGCAGGGTGTGAACTGCCCTGGTGAGTAGGGCGGTAACCAGGATGCACTGGCAGAGCAGAGCTGGTGTAGCCGATGGTGCCTTGGGACAACCAGCACTGGGAATAAAAGTGGCCGTGAACACAGCAGCTGGCCTTGTACACTGTCATCTGGCCTGGCCTGGGATTGATCCCAAGCCACAGCCATACCTCCCCTGGGCTCAGGGGACAGGAAGGGGAAGAGGACATCAGTGAGGAAGACCTAGCCCAACATGCAAATGAGGCAACACTGACAAACAGCAGGATTGGGGACTCCCAGCAGTGGTGCCCATGATGGTGTGGCCCTGACCACTAGGCAGCGCCCACAGGCAGATGTGCCCACCTCACTCGCATTATATCCCTGGGCCTGGGGCGTTCAAACATGGGCTTCCGCACTGTTGGCCAACACTTGGGCCAAGCAGTCTCTGGGCTCCTCCCCAACTCGAGCTTTGTGGAAAGCCACGTCATCTCTGCTCAGAGCATGAAGTCTCCAGAACCTGCCCCCCATCTATCTGTCTGGACCAGAGAGGAACATGGTCAATCACAGCGATCAGGGGCTAGGCAGGAGCTGTGAAGTGCGAGACTCATCTCAGCTGGCTCAACTGGGGAGGGCAGTCATCATTGACCTGGTGACAGTGGGGGAGAAAAAGAAGGCCGCAAGCCCTGGAGAGCCCAAGATGGAAAGGAGAAGGCTGAAGGATTCCCTGCAGGGGACACTTGTGTCCTGTCCTACTCAAGGAAAGAAGCTAAGGCCGAGGAGCATCCAAAAGAAATTTATTTTCTGGCACAAGAAGGGGTGAGGGTTGTAGGGGTGCAGGGATGGCTCCCACGTCCTACGGAGCACAGCCCCTCACCCCCAGCCTCCACCTCCCTCATCACTCTCCTCAGTTTTGGGATGGAGAGTGGTTACATGTCATCCTTGGACACCAGGCAGTAGAAGTCTGTGCGGGCACCGTAGTTTCGAGAGCCCAGGTCCGAGATGTCCAGCTCACTGCCCCGTCCCCCTCCACCTGCCTGCAGTGGGGCCAGTGACTGTCCAAACACAGGTCTCCGGACACCTGCAGAAAGGCCCATGAGATGCTGGGGCTGCTCCTCCCACCCCCCAGCAGAGCCACCCCCACCCAGCGCAGCTTCAGGGGGTATACCCAGGTCTCCCTCAGGATCAGGATCCAACTCTGGCCCCAGAGTGTGACTGTCGTGGATGCCACCTCGCACAATCAGCATGGGGTCCTTGTCATCCTGCCGCTGGGTCTGGGGATCCCCCTCCATAGCCCGGCACTGCACCTTCCGGGGCAGTGCCAGCTGCAGCTCCTTCCAGAAATCAGAGGATGGTGCCTGATAACCAGGGGAAGGGTCAGGTGTGAGCTCAGTTCTGGAAAATGCTCCTGCTCCAGGGACCCCAAAGAGCCCCAGTTCCTCTCAAGCCCCACCGCACACATGGCTGTGCTCAGACTCTGCAGACCCTTCCCAGAGCTGCTCGAGGTGCCTCCTCAGGCTGTCTACCACTGCCACTTCCATGCTCCACAGAGCACCATGGAGGCCCCCGCCCAGAGAGCCTCACAGAGCCCACCTCTCCACGAAGCCTCCCACCCCACAGAGCTTCTCTTACCACAGCCACCCTCCCCACAGAGAACCCCCTCCCCATGAAGCCCCGTCCTGAAGAGCCTCCCTCCCCACAGAGCCATCCTGCCGCAGAGCCCCACCCCACAGAGCCCCCCCCCACCATGGAGTCCCCCATCCCACAGAGCCCTTCTCACCAGTCTTCCACCCCACAGAGACCCCTTCATCACAAAGTCCACCTTGTCCCACAGAGCACCCAGCCTTACAAAGCCCCTCACCACAGAGCCCCCTTCCGCAGAGCCCCTTCCCTGCAGAGCCCCCTCCCCACACAGTCCCCTCCTGCAGAGCATCTCCCCCCAGAGCCTCCTCCCCACAGAGACCCCTCCTGTAGAGCCCCCTCCCACAGAGTCCCCTCCCCGCTGAGCTCTCTCCCACAGAGCCCCTTCCCACACAGTCTCCTCACCACACAGTCACCTCACCAGAGTTGCCTCCCGCAGAGCCCCCTCCCCGTAGAGCCCTCTCCCCGCAGAGCTCCCTCTCCAAAGACCCCTCCCACACAGTCCCCTCACCAGAGTCCCCTCCTGTAGAGCCCCCTTGCCACACAGTCCCCTCACCACTGAGCCCCTCCCCACAGAGCCCCCTCTCCGCAGAGCTCTCTCCCTCAGAGTCCCCTCACCACAGAGCCCCTTCCCACACAGTCTCCTCACCACAGAGCCCCCTCAACCACAGAGCCCCCTCCCGCAGAGCCCCCTCACCACAGAGCCCGGCCTCCAGAGCAGCAGCGTCACCAGGTGGCGGTGCTGGCGCAGCAGGCGCAGCGCAGGGTGCACGGGCTCGCGCCTCTGGCCCTCGAAGGTGATGAAGATGGGTCTGCGGGTGAGCTCCAGCAGGCGGCACAGGCCCTCCCTGGCGGGCGGGGGCGGTATGTCAGCGCGGCCCGCCAGGGGGACCCCCCCCCAGCCCATGCGGGCCCCACCGGAAGCTGTGGCTGCACCAGGCGCGGCCCAGGAAGGCGTCCGACAGCACCACGACGAGGCGCCGGCAGCGGCTCAGGTTCACCAGGAGGTCGGCGGAGGGCTCTGTGGGGGGGCGGGGCGGAATGGGCGGGGCCCCGCGCGGGCCGGAGTGGGCGTGGCCCGAGCGGGGAGGGGCGTGGCTCCGCGCGGGCCGGAGTGGGCGTGGCCCGAGCGGGAAGGGGCGTGGCTCCGCGCGGGCGGGGAGGGGCGTGGCTCCGCGCGGGCCCGAGTGGGCGTGGCCCGAGCGGGAAGGGCGGGGCTGCGGGGCGGGGCCCGGACCGGAACTGGGCGCGGCCTACCAGCCCGCGGCAGAAGGTCGCGGTCGTCCAGGAAGAGCTTGTAGCCCCGACGCCGCTCCAGCTGCGGCTTCAGGATGAAGTTCACGAACTTCCGGTCCTCCGGGCTGTCACTGTAGGATATGTAGGCGTCGTAGAGCTTCCCATCTGCGGACGCCCGAGGGTCAGCGCGGCAGCTCTCCAGCCGCGCGGCCACCCGCGCCGGTCTCCCCCAGGGGCAGGCGCAGACCCTGGCCGCTCGCCCTTCCCGTGAACCCACCGCAGCGACACCCACCGTTCACCTCCACCTCCCCGTAGGCGTCTTGGTACCAGCGCAGCACATTGAGGCGGCACTTCACATAGAGCAGCGCCACCAGGAGCAGGGCCAGCAGGACCGAGAGTGAGGCCACCACTGCTGCCACGTGGCCTGCGGGACCTGGGGACAGCACGGCTGAGCGAGGCTCTGCCCCCATCGCCCTGCAGCCCTCCCTCCCCGCCAGCCCTCACCAGCTCTCCGGAGAGTGAAGGGGGCCGAGGTGATGTTCCTGATGGTGCACGTGAAAGTCCCATAGTCCTCCACGCTGGTCAGGTTGACCCCCAGAATACTGCTCGTAAACACCTCGGACAGGTTGGCACTGGACCTGGGGAGACCCGGCCCCTTTTCAGCTAGGCTGAAGAGCCTCCATCGGTGCCCTAGAGCCCGCCTGTCTGGGACTCACCCCAGAGGCCACAGTTGGCTTCCTGGGCAGCCCTGGGAATAAGAGAAGTGGACAGAGCTGGGAGGGTGTGGGTCTACTGGGGGCAATCCTCTTGAACCTGGGTCTGCATCGACCCAAGGCTCAGGGCCTCCAGCCTTCTGATACTGCAGGCCCCACAGCCCATGGGGGTCTGCAAGACGACTACCAACAGGAAATGTGTCCCTGTGGTCACCAACCTCAACATGCGTCCAGGGTGCCACAGCTTATTTTGCACCTGGGCAGTTAGTGGCCAGCTGGTGTGCTGGTGGCTCACACCAGGGCACAGGGCAGAGGCAGCTGCCACAGGAATATCCAATGTGGACATCCGGGCTCTTACCAGTCATCCGTCTGGAGGAGGCTGGCGTGGCTTCTGTTCACCAGTGGCAGCCCGTCTTTCAGCCACTGGATGGAGGGCTTGGGGCAGTGGGGCCCTGAGGCCAGCCAGGCTGTGCAATTAAGAGTGACCACTTCACCCACGGTAGGCCTCAGGACCTGGTTTCCAGGTGGGGAGAGGAAGTGGGGATCCCCGAGACAGTCATCTGTGGAGAGAGCAGCCATGATTACCATGTCCAGGCAGAACCTAGTGTCCAGCCACAGACTCAGGGGGTCAGAGCTTGGCATTTGGCACCTTTTCCTCCAACAGTGGTGGGAAGTGGCTTCAGAGGACATTCGGGTGGGGACCCAGCCCAGCCAGGGCCCTCAGCACCAGGCACCAACCCCATGTCTACCCCCACTGCGATACCCCCCAGGTAGGTGAGGGCTGTTTTCTCCCTCTGCCCCCTGGTCCCTCTGTCAGTTGCCAGGGGGTTCAGGTGCTTGCCTGGGGTGTGACACCTGGAGTGGGCAGGTGAGGGCCTAGTGTTCCAGGACCCCCTGTTCCCACAGACCCCTGTGCTTCCTTGCAGTTCAGTTGGGGTGGTGAGTCCAGTGGAGGCCAGAGGGGACTGCCCACGTAGGCACTGTGGTCTCCGGGCAGTGCCCGTGGGCCCCTCCAGCCCCACCCTTCCCACCCAGTGTCCCAGGGCCAGCTACCCCCCACCCCCTGTGAGCTGGCTCTGGAGGCCTTGGGCAGGAGCCAGTTTAGGGTCCATCTGACCACATGGTAAGGACTGTGGGCCCTAGGGGAGGGCAAGCAGCAACCTTTGTGTCCCTCCTGGCAGCGTGACTCTGCCTGGGTCAGGCGGTGGAGATGGGCCTGTGTGGGGACCTCTCTGACTGTCCCTCCTGACCCATCTACCTGCCATGGTGTGGCCAGAGCCTCCTTGGGGCAGGCAGGCAGTGCTGTGGCCACCCCAGCTCCACTGGACTCCAGGCCGAGCAGGTCCCAAGAGCGGGGCAGGGCTCTTGCTCTCTTTCTGTCCTTGCGGCAGGTGAGTCGGGGCGCCTGGACGGGTCAGAGGCTGCCGCCATCCCCAGGGAGCAAGTTAAACAAGAACAGGATGAGTTAACGAGTAACTGACCACAGACAGAGCTGTCCCAGTCGCTGTACCTTCCACGGGGCGCAGCGACCAGTGTGGCTCTCAGGCTGTGAGGGCCCTCACTGCTGCTTCAGCCTGAGCACCGCTGCCTGGCACCCTCAGTGGGCCTTGTCTCTGCTGGGCAGCTCTGGTCAGCAGAGGACCAGCCAAGCCTTGGTCCCTGGCCACCCTTGCTGCCTGACACCGAGTCACCTTCCTAGCCAGAAGGCCTTGTCCCAAACCCCAGCCACATGTGTGCATTGACATGGCACTAGTGGCTGGGCCACCAAGTCAGGGAGGCAATGGGAAGAAGGCCACTCCTAGACCCTCACAAGCACCCCTTCTGTATCCACAGCCACTATCCAGTGTCAGGGACAGTGCCCACTGCCTGTGGCTTTCCAGGGGAAGCTCCGACTCACAGCACAACTGATAGCGGCCACAAATCCTGCCACAAAGCTCTGGAAAGAGAGCTGGCGGGAAGGAGGGGTCCTGAGCCCAGTCCTGGGGCCTCCTCCCAATGCCCCAGTTTACCCTCATTCCTTCTATGGTCTGGGTCGGACTCTGCGCAGCAGAAAGGGATGCTGCACCCACCTCCTATTCTCAGGGCAGTGCTGAAGCGTTTGAGCTAGAGGCTGTTGGGTTAATTAAGGGCATTCTTGAAGCAGGACAGCAAGCCCACTGCTGAGCAGGATCAGAGACGGGCCAGCATGTCCAGAAGGACCTGCCCTAGTCCAGTGGGTCACCAGGAACTCCTGCAGTGGCCCATCCACCTCCCAAGCTCTGTAGACCTTATACCCCTGAAAGGCAGCTGCCGACCTCCCTAAAGTGAAGGTCATGCATCCTGGACAGAGGGACAGCCAGGCAAAGGACATCATTCCCTGCAGTGATCTCTACACACTCCTCACAAGTCTCCCTGTTACCTCCCTGACATCCCCTGCATTCATCCCTGCACACCCTCCTTGCACATCCCCTGCAAAGCCTGAAATGCACCTTCCCACCCACCCACCCAGCATACCCTCCCCGGACACCTCTGGCACAGTCTGAGACACTATCCTGCACACCTTCCCTGAGACTCTCCCCATACGCCATCCCATCCCACCTTCCACGTGACTTTCCCTACACACCTTCACTGTGACTCTCCCCACACACCTTCCTGACACTCCTGCTACTCAGCTTCCCTGTGCCACCCAAGGAACCCCTTCCCGCACAGTCTGAGGCACACCTTCCTACACAACCTCCCTGCACCGCCTGACTCACCTTCCCACACAGCCTCCCTGCACCGCCTGAGGCACACCGTCTCACACAGCCTTGAGGTACACCTTCCCACACAGCCTCCCTGCACTTCTGATGGACACCATCCCACACAGCCTGAGACTCACTTTCCCACACAGCCTCCCTGCATCACCTGAGACACACCTTCCCACACAGCCTCCCCGACAGCCTGAGACACACCTTCCCACACAGCCTTGAGGTACACCTTCCCACACAGCCTCCCTGCACTTCTGATGGACACCATCCCACACAGCCTGAGACTCACTTTACCACACAGCCTCCCTGCATCACCTGAGACACACCTTCCCACACAGCCTTGAGGTACACCTTCCCACACAGCCTCCTTGCACAGCCTGAGGCACACCGTCTCACACAGCCATGAGGTACACCTTCCCACACAGCCTCCCTGCACTCCCTAGGACACTTTCCCACACAGCCTCCCTGCACTTCTGAGGGACACCATCCCACACAGCCTGAGACTCACTTTCCCACACAGCCTCCCCGACAGCCTGAAGACACACCTTCCCACACAGCCTTGAGGTACACCTTCCCGCACAGCCTCCACACAGAGCCTAGGACACGCCTTCCCACACAGCCAGATATTTTCCTACATGGCCTCCCTGCACTGCCTGAGGCACACCTTCCTGCACAGCCTCTCGTACAGCCTGTAAACCTTCCTGCACAGGCATGGCCTGCCTACTCTATGCACATGAGCCCTCTGCCCTGTCCAACTGTGCTGAAGGCAGTCCCTGTGCATGCATGCACACACTCCACACACCTGGCCCTCACTACACACACTTTCATCTTCCCTCAGAGGACACGGCCATGAGCACTTACACACGGCCCACACCTCATACCCACCCTTGGCTGAGGATAGTGCACGCACCACCTCCCTTCCCCCCTCACTGGCTCACGGGTATGCGTGCACACATATATGCACACATACGTGTTGCGGGGCCTGACTCTGGCTGAGGAAGGCTTCCTAAGGACGCAGAAGAGGACGTGGGCACCAGCAGGGCAGCAGGCTTTGAAGGGAAGGCAGGAAGTCACCTGGTTCTGGCTCTTTCCTCCTGCCAGATGAATCGGCCATTGAGGTCACTGGCGTGTGCTTGGGAGGGAGCCGACTTTCCACTCAGTTGGTCCGCTCATGCATCACCCGGCATGAGGGAGACCCGGCTGCATGCACATGGCTGGCATGGGGGAGACCAGGCTGCATGCACACGCGTTTGTGAAACTGGCCTTCCTGGCCCTGCAGTCACATCCTATTCAGACCCCAAACCCCACCCCAGCACCCACCTCCTCCGGTGGGCGGGCAGTGATCGGTTCCACCCTGCCTGCCTGCTCTTCCTGTAGCTCTGAGTCAGCAGGCTCCTTCCTCTGCGGCCCGCCCAAGCCCCCCCAGGCAGGCAGGGTGGGGGAGAGTGGTTAGAACCAAGGGGCTTCGGGTGCAAGGGGGCTGGCAAGGAGCCCAGCGAGGTCTCCTGCACAGCATGAGGAGGCAGTCGGGCTTTCTGGACCCCTGCAGCACATCCAGGGAAAAGGGTCTCCACAGTGCTTGCCCTGACCAAGTGGACCCCAGTTCTGTACCCCAGGGTGGAGAGCTCAGTGTAAACTCCCACCCACTGGGGGGCGGGGTGGTGAGTGGCCCAACTGCCTGTTCCCTGACCCCGCCCACTGAGCCCCCAGCGGGGGTGAGGGGTGGGTTGTGTGGAGTTTTTTTATTTTATTTTATTTTTTTGCTTTTTGGGTCACACCCAGCGATGCTCAGGGGTTATTCCTGGCTCTGCACTCAGGAATTACTCCTGGCGGAGCTTGGGGGACCATATGGGATGCTGGGGATCCAACGCAGGTCGGCTGCGTGCAAGGCAAACGCCCTACCGCTGTGTTATCGCTCTGGCCCCATGTGTTGAGTTTTAAGGGACACGGGTCGGTGCCTTCGGGGGCAGCCAGCACCCCCTCGCTGTTAGCACAGGGGGTCAGCAACAAGGAGCCAGGCGCCCGGGATGCACAGAGGGGAGTCTCCTTCAGCCCGACCCTGCCCTCACTCAGGGCAGGCCCAACAGAGGGGTCCCCAGCGCCGACCGGGTTACCCTTACCCCAGTCTGACCTGGTCCTCTGACGCTCACAGCCCAGGGTCCACAGTCCTGGACCACGCCAAGCATGGAGCCAGGAGACCTGGCGGCCAGCATCCGGCAGGAAGCCGAGGGCGAGGCTCTCCCTGGGGTACCCCACAAAGCACTTGCCAGCCTAACGGCGCCGGCCCGCGTCTGGAGCTGTGGGCAGCAGCAGGGACCCGCCAGCTCAGGCGCGCGAGGCCCAGGAGAGAGACTGTTGGGGTCTCCTGGTGATGGGGTCTGGCGCCCTGCACCCACGTGCCCGCGTGCCTGCGGGTGCGGCCCGCCCCGCGCTGCGCTCTGTGTCCCTAAAGGAAACGACGTGGCCTCGCGGGTCCCCACGGCTCTGTCCTGCTCCGTGACCCGCGACGCCAGATCCCTGACAACAACGCCAATCCCTGCCGCACTTCCTGCGCCGCCTTCGAGGGGGAGGGGCCTGGGTCTCCGTAGCGCCCACCCGCGGTCGGCGAGTGGGGGGCGCGGGGTCGGGCACGTGGGGAAGGACACTGGGCCGAGGGGCGCGCGCGGGACGCTGGACGGAGACGCGCGCGGGACGCTCGACGGAGGGGGCGCGCGGGACGGTGGACCGAGGGGCGCGCGCGGGACGCGGGGCCGAGGGGGGAGCGCGGGACGCGGGACCGAGGGGGCGTGCGGGACGCGGGACCGAGGGGCGCCGTCAGCTGTGGTTCTGCCCGCGACCGCGACCCGCTCCCCGAGTGGACCCCGGCCAGCTCGCGAGGGCCCCGGAGCCGGCCGCGGGCTTGCTGGCTTCCGGCGACACGGGCCCCAGGGCGGCGCGAGCAGCTTCCTGCGCGCCCCGGGGAGCCGCCCCCGACCCCCGCGCCCAGGCCCGGCCGGGCCGGCCCGCACTCACCCGGCTGCGCGCCGCCGCGGCCACTCGGCGCCCGCCCGCACCTGCCGCCCGGGGCTCACCTGGGTCAGGTGCGCAGCGGCAGGTGCAGCCCCGCCCCCGCGGCGGAGGCGGGCCCCTCCGGGTCCCAGCGGCCCGCAGCGTGGGGGGGGGCGCTGTAGGGCTCCCCGCTCCCCGCCCTTCCTCCTACCTCGGGAAGCCGGCCGGCCGGCCCCACGCCCAGGTGCGGAGGGCGGGGCGCGCTGACCGTCGCCGCGGGGAAGGTTCCGGGAAGGACGGGGGAGGCCGGAGGGGCCGACAGTCCCGACCCTTGCCCTGCCTGTCCGCGCACCACCCGGAGCGACCCCGAAGTCCGCACCACAAGCTTGCTTTTATTCCAGCAGCGCGGCGAGCGCGGGGTCGGGGCTGCACCTGGGGCCCCGAGGTCAGGGCGAGCAGGACCAGCCCCTGCCCAGCGCAGCAGATGGCCCCTGGTCTCTCCAGCGGCAGGGGTCCCCAGAGCCCATACACAGATCCCACACTCCGCCAGCGTTCTCGGCAGGGTCTCTCCCCAGCAGCGCCGGCGCCTACACAGCTGTGGTCTTGGGGCTGTAGCTGGGGCCACGGGAGGAGGGGACCTGGGACCCCGCGCCAGCCCCAGCCTGCCTCTGCCGCCCTCCAGAAATCTTCTCTCGTAGCCTCTGGTACTTCTCCTTCAGAACCTTGTTCTTCACTGTCTGAGGGACGTCAGGCACGAACCAGGCAGCAACCAGCTTGATGCACAGAGCCACATGCTGGGGACAGGGGCAGGTCTGGTCAGAGCGGGCCCTGGGGGGGCTGGGGAGCCCACTCCCCCTGCGACCCACCTCGAAGAGGATGAGGAAGGCCAGGCGGATCGCTAGGAGGACCCAGAACTGTTCGGAGAAGCTGTAGTCCTTGGCATTGCGGTAGTCTCGGTACCTGGGTGGGGTGGGGGTGGGTGTAGGCGTGAGGCCGGCCCGGGGGTGCCAGGGGAGCACCCAGGCTGGGGCTTCAGACCTGCACTCCGTCACGTTCTCGGGTCCCTGTATACTGTTGCCTTCCGGGAAGTCCTTGGTGTAGAACACGGACAGACTGTGGTTGATGTAGCCAGTGAGGCAGCTGTGGGGGAGAGGGGGGAGAGGGGCACGGGTCAGCATGGGAGGGGCCACAGCAGGCCCCCGCCAGGCCCAAGGAGCTTCCCTGCTGCTTCCCTGACCTGGGCCCCTGTGAGGCCCCCCACATGGTGGCCCCTTACTCGACTCCGGGTGAAGCCCCCCGCCGGCACGGGCCATAGTGGTATTTGTAGACCACCCGGGGAATAAACTCAGACGTGAAGGCGATGATCATGCCGTTGGCGATGACGGCCAGCACACCAATGATCTCCAGCACCTGCAGCCACGTCCCTGGCACGGCAGTGGGGACACCCTCTGGGCCTGGGCCCCTGCCCACCACCACCCACACCTCAGAGGCTCAGCGCCCACGTCCCTTTCTGGCAGGAGAGGGACCCGGCTCTCGCCTGCACTGACTCGCTGCAGGCAGAGATCCTGCTGCCCCTGGTCCCTCCCAGACACCATTCCCCCTGCCCTGCCCCTTAGTGGGCCTCCTGCCCCGCCCCTTCCCCAGTGCCTGCCCCTCCCGGCCCCTGCTCTGCTCTCAGCTCTGCTGCCCAGTCAGTCAGGGGCTGCAGCCCAGGTGGGGTCTCTGAATGCTCCCAGACAGCCAGCCTCTTACAGGGACTCGAGCCCACCCAGGCCCCAGCCCTGTCTGTGGCAAAGCCTGGGAAGGGCTGGGGTGGGGGGCTTCTCGCCACCACTCGGGACTGCCACTCCAAGGGCCGGCCCCAGGCCCTAGGCTGGAGCCCCTCCTCGCAGAGCTGCACTGTGGGGTCCTGACCGATATCCTTGGTCTTGCGGGGCACCAGGCGCCGCTGCAGCCTGACCATCTTGATGGCGTCCAGGCGGATCTCCACCAGGTTGCTGAAGAAGGCGAGCAGAGGGGCCAGCGGGAAGGCAGCCACGAAGATGGTGGTGAAGCCGTACTGGATCACTGGGGGCCCGGGAACATGCTGGGGGCAACGCCCACACACGCCCCCCAGCTCCCCGCACCCCAGCATCTGCCTGGCATGCCCCCCCTAGCCCTGCCCCCGCCCCGGGACGCACTCATCTCCATGAACTCATCAAAGAGGCTGAAGTTGTAAACTGGGTTCATGTAGTAGTTCCGCCTCCAATCCTGCAGTGCAGGGTCCCTGGGTCGGGCCTGAGAGGCCCGCTGGGAACGCCACTTGAAGGACAGCAGCCTGGGAAGGGGCAGAGATGGGGGCTGGGGCAGGGGGCACTGGGGATAGGAAGCGGGCCAGCCGGGGAGGGGGTGGTCCTCACGGGCTCAGGTACTCCATGCAGTTGCTAAGTGTCTGCTTCAGGAGCATGACGATGGCCATCTGCATGAACAGGTCCACCATGCAGCCACTGAGGTGGCACTGTAGGGGGGGAGACATGGAGGGTCCTGCAGTGGCACTGGGGGCTGGCAGGAGCAGAGGTCAGGCCCAGGGGCCCGAAGTGGGCAGGAGTCCCTGGGGCAGTCCAGAAATGGGGCACAAGGCGTCCTGGCCAGACTGACCTCTTCCAGCTTCCACAACCCTGCCAGGCGCACAGTTTTCCCAGGGTGACCGTTGATCCTGGCGGGGGCAGGGGAAGGACAGTGAGACTGGGAGGGGCAGTGTCTTGTTCTGACAGGGGGGTGCAGAGCAGGAGGGGGGTCGGGGTGTTGGAGGGGAGGAGAGGGGACAGACTGGGTAGCACCATCCCCCTAAGCAGGGCTTACCCCAGTGCACCCTCCGCACACACACAGCTCACGCGTATGTACACACTAGTGTGGTTGGGAGGGAAAACTAGTCCATGGGGAAGGGGCAATGGGAAATGTGTCCCAGACTCAGGCACTGGGGGGTGGAGAGAGACCACTGAGTCTACCAGACAGCCATGCCGTGATGCCCACGGCCCAGAGCTGGGCCACAGCAGCTGCCACTGTGGTGTGAAGTGTGCCAGTGGCTGGCCTTGAGGGGCAGTCAGGAGCCCGCTGGGAGCCCAGAGGGATGAGAGTGGACAGAGGGCCCTGAGGGAGGCCACCTGAGTGTGGGCCCTGCAGGTGGAGGCGGTGCCCACCAAGGCTTGCAGCAGCTTCTAGAAGCTAAAATGCACCACAGACTCCCCCCAGTACCCCCAGGTGGGACACATGATAAACAATATAAAAGGTGGGCGCAGAGCACCCGTGGCTTCAGCCCCATGAGACCCATTTTGGACTTGACCTCTAGAACTGTCAAAGAAAACATTTGTGTGGTTTCGGAGGCTGGAGAGAGAACTTCAGGTTGGCATTTGCCTTCCCTGCATGCGGCTGACCAGGTTTGATCCCAAATCCCTGGCGTCCCAAATGGTCCCGAGTCATGCTATGCCAGGAGCGATCCCTGAGCACAGAGCCAGGAGGAAGCCCTGGACACCACTGGGTGTGTCCTCTCTCCCAAAGAAGAGGCCCAGGGATAGTGGCAAAAAGCATCAGTTTTGCTCATGGGAGGCCATGCGGCCATGCATCCAACTCCTGATGTCCCCCACATGTGCCTGCCCCCTGGTGCCACCACATGCACTGGCACAGTCTCCACACGTGTGCGATCTCCAGCACAGCAAAGCAGGTGTGAGAGTACCTCGCTGATGCTTGGGTGATTCCGAAGAGGGCCCTGGCCAGGTGGGGGTCCCAGTGAGCACACGTGTGAACACGGGGCATCACTGGTATGAAGTAAGTGTGTCGCGCCCTGGCCATATAGCAACAAGGGCGGGAAGGCGAGAAAATAAAATCACTTTGGGGCCATTTGTTATGACCACAGTAGAAAACCACTCCAGTGTCTGTGTAGCGTCTCCCTAAAATAATTTAACTATTTAAGATTGCTGCAAGCAGTCTTAAACTAAACCACACAGAACTCAGACTTAGTTTGAGCAAATGATTCCAAAGTTTACCCAGAAAGCAAATATAAAACTGTGAAAAGTGAAACAAGAAGGGGAAGGAAGAGCCCAGGCGCCAGCTCTGCATGGCAGAGCCTCTCACCTTAGTTACATGGTAAGTACCAGGTAAAGCCATCAGAACCACAGGAAGGGAAAGGGACTCTGGCCGGGATGTGGGGTGTGGCCATGGCAGCTCATGCCCAGGGCAGGCAGACATCATGCAGCCACGGCAGGGGTGGCTGCCTGGCCCCGGCAAAGGCTGTACAGCCACCTTTGCCTCCTCTGCAAAGTGAGCAGCTTGTGAGTCAGAGACAGAAGGCCTCGCGCAGAGGAGGCCACAGCTGACCCGGATTCTAAGCTTGGTGTGGAACCGATCCTGAAGGAATGACTGACGACCACCAGGACACAACATGAAGGTGCTCCCATGTGAGGGGACCCGGCACCCACTTTCCTTAGGCCCCAAGGTGACTCCAGGTCCAGGACTGGGATCTGGGAGGCAAGAGGAGGGGCAGAACCAGCATGCAAGATGATAGGGACCAACACGTAAAGGGGGCACCTGGACACGACCATGCTCCACCCCAGAAGCTGGAAGAAAAACAAGAGGAGAAAGCAAAGCAAACCAGAAGACTCGTTCAAAAGTCGCTGCTTCCAAAGCAGGGTCACCCAGGCACGAGCAGAGGAGGAGGCAGGAGGCGTGGGAAGCTCTAGAAGGCATGCGGGGCCTGGGGGAGTCCAGCACCCAGGGCCAAGGCTGCTGCAGGCCAGGGTGGGGCTGGCACCACCTAGGACCCTCATCTGGGCAGAGGAGGAGAGATGGGAGGGGTCAAAGGTCTGACTGGCCACAGGAGTGGACTTGAGGTTGGAGTGGAGGTGAGAGGAATTTCTGGGAAAGGTATGAGCATGCATGTTAGGTGGGAAGGAAAAGTCTGGGGGCAGAAGAGGGACACCACAGCCATGCATTATCACATCCCTGACGTCACCACAGCCCTGACGTCACCACAGCCCTGACGTCACCACAGCCCTGACCTCACCACAGCCTTGACATCATCACAACCCTGATATCACTGCAACCCTGACACCATTGCAGCCGTGGTGTCATCACAGCTTTTATACCACCAAAGCCCTGGCATCATCATAGCCCTGATGTCACCAAAGCCTTGACATCATCACAGCCTTGACATCATTATAACCCTAATCTCACCACGGCTCTGAAGTCATTACAGCCTTGACTTCATTGCAATCCCACCGGTTTGGTGTCATCATGGCTCTGATGTCATCACAATCATGATGTCATCATGACTCCAATGTCATCACAGTGATATCAACCCTGTTAGATGCAACAAGCCACAAACAGACCACAAGTCTTCAAGAGTCAGAAATCTGGGTTGTGGTGGTGCCACAGAGCACTGAACACCTTGGGTTGGATCCCTGCACTCCATGGTCTCATCTGGAGAAGAAAGGAAGGAGAATTGGGCCCTCAAGGAAGAGACTAAACACTCCAGGAACCCCAACTACACTTTCCTGAGGAGCCAGAGGACCTGGGGCTGAGGTTTCAGAATGGGGCTCCCCAGGGTGAGAACCAAGGATGGTCTTCAGATGGGGGGATGTCCCCAGGACTGCAGCTCCGGGTGGTCCTGTCAGAAATCTGAGGTTCAGAGAGACAGGACTGCGGGTAGGGCTCTTGCTTTGCATATGGGTATCCCAAGTTTGATCCCAGCACCTCATAGGGTCCCCTGAGCCCTGTCAGGAGTGATCTCTGAGCACAGAGACAGGAGTAAGCTCTGAGCACCACCAGGTGTGGCCCCAAAATCAACCAAACAAACAAAAAAGGAATGGTGCATAGAATAAATGGAGCAATTACTTTCTCAAGAATGTAAAGTATCTATTGATTGAACCCCCCACTCAAAGGTTCCCTTCAAAAGAGACATGTGTTCATGTCTGCTGTGTGTGCACGTATGTGTCATGTGAGTTACTGAGGATGCTGAAAGCAGTTTTAGGTATAAATCTTCAAGCCAAATAATCCAAATGCCCGCCAGGTGAAGTTAAACAGATTCCAGCACCACTGCCAAGCAGTCCTTGGAGATTTACAAATAAGACCCAACACGTGGAAGGTGCCTGAGGTGGTCCCACGAGGAAAGCCATGCCACACGACTGTATGCGCACACAGCATGGAAGCGTGTCTGTGAGGCGCCCCCCAAAAGGCGACACTGCCATCATAGTGGCAACAGGGCTCTTGTGCATATCTCAGTGACAACGCTGTCATCTGTGCCCAACAGAGATCGCTATCTGTACACCTGTGTCTACAAGCTGTACACACGATACCAGGTTTGTGATTGGAATCTATACTGACATCACACAACACTACCCCTGTCCCCGTCTATGCTTCATTTGTTTTGAGACAAGTTTTCTGAAAAGCTACACGGAGCACGCGCTGCTGTTCCTGGTGGCCAGAACGGGCTCTCACCTGCCCAGAATGAAGGCCACATAGATGAGGGAGGAGAAGTGGGTAAAGAACTGCAGCGTGAAGAATTTGATGGTGAACTTGCTCTCACGCTCGGAGAAGGTCCTGGGCTCCTCTGCAAGACACGGGGGCGTCCACCTCCTGACCTCGCTCAAGCCCAGACCATCTCCAGCCCAGGGGCCCCAGCTCTGAATTCTCTCCAGGAGCCCTGGGCTGGGGCGCCCACTTACCAAAGTCACACAGTCTCAGGGCCACAGCCTTGTTGACCTGTGGGCGGAGAGTGTGGGTGAGCGGGAGCTGGGCGGAGGCCTCCCAGCCCACAGCCCTCACGCACCTTGGTCATGATGATGATCATCAGGTAGTGCACCACTGCCCCGGTCACCACCACGGCGGTTGTCACCTGCTCCCCCAGGAAGGGCAAGTAGCCGAAGGCAGCAGCTGCCAGGACACGATAGACCACGAGGACGTGGGCCATGCCTATCATGATGCAAATCTGCGGACATGGTGGAGGCAGGGCCTCAGGAGGCCGTGCCCAAGCCCCGCCCTCGGACTGAGGTCAGCAGCAGGATGACCAAGCCCTCCCCAGGGCACCATGATCAGGGCCAGCAGCAGGATGATCGAGCCCTCCCCAGGGCACCATGATCAGGGCCAGCAGCAGGATGACCGAGCCCTCCCCAGGGCACTGTGACCAGGAGCAGGATGACCAAGCCCTCCCCAGGGCACCATGAGCAGGGCCAGCAGCAGGATGAGTGAGCTGCGCAGGTACGAGTGCTGGTGTGGCTTCAGCTGATAGTCGGGGCAGTTGATGAGCTCCAATGCGATTTCCTCCTGCAGGGATGATAGGCAGACCCCAGACATGGGCACACAATTCAGACACAGGCACGTGCCTCAAACACAGAGCACATGCTTCAGACATGGGTGCATGCCTCAACACAGAGCACACACCTCAGACATGAATATGCGCCTCATGCATGGACACAGGTGTCACAGTACATGGCTCAGATGGGACACATGTCTAAGACATGGCACATCCCTCAACATGGGACACGCATCTCAGACATGGGCACATGACTCAACACGGAGTACATGCTTCATACATGACACATGCCTCATACAGGGGCACGTGCCTCACAGGACATGAGCCTCGTAGAGGGGCATGTGCCTCACAGGACACGGGGCCCAGGCTGCACACAGGCTGCCAGTGCAGCTGACAGGTATGGAGAGCCTGGGGCCTCACCTGGTCCTCATCCCAGTTATACAGGTCCCAGTGCAGGACCACTTCTGCTCGCTTGCGCTTCCAGAACTCCAGGAACATGGTGGCTATGGCAGAGAAAACGAGAGGGGCTGTGTGTCAGGGGGTGCACAGGGCTGCTGGGGTCTGGGGCGTGGAGTAGAAGAGGCCCTGGAGTTCAGGGTGGCCCCCACGACTCACCCCACAGCGCCATGAAGATGGCAAACAGCACGGTGCCCTCGTTGTCAAAGAGGTGAGTGAGCTGGGGAAAGGGTGGTGTGAGGTGAGCTCCTGGTCTGTGCCTCAGCCGGGCGGCAGGGGGCCCCGTGCAGAGGCTGGGCCCCATGTTCCCTGCTTTAAGTGACAGGTTGGAGGGGCCCGGTGGGAACTCGGGGGCAAACCTTGGCAAAGGTGCAGGTGTCCGAGAGCCGATGGTACCTAAGGCTGTGGTCACCACGTGGGCACATGTAGATATTGTGGGCCTCGCAGATCTCCTTGCTGGGGACAGAGGCCAGGCTGAAGGCTCTTCTGGAACTAGAGTGCACCCACCTGGCCCTCAGCCTCCCTGCCCAGGCCCTTACCTGATCTGACTGGCATCGAAGTGGATAAAGCCAAAGAGGAAGACCACGAGGCCCACGAAGGCGGCAGGCAGCAGCATGTAGGTGTACCAGCCAAGCCAGGCAAAGTACAGGGCCACCTTCTCGCCAAAGTAGTTCCTGTGAGCACAGTTGAGCATCAGGACCACTCTGAGGGGCACAGGTCATGTATGGGAACAAGAGTGTTTTGTCACATACGGGAGCACAAATACGTCTGTTATTGGGACACAGGTATGTCTGAGTGCGAAGGCGTATCTGGGCACAGGCCTGTCCAGAGCACAGTGTGTCTGAAGCACACGTGTGTCTGGGGCATGGGTGTACTGATCACAGGTCTGTCCTGGGCACACAGCTGTGTCTGGAGCACACAAGTGTGTCTGAGCACACAGGCCTGTCTAGGGCACAGGTGTGCCTACACGTAGGTGGCTGGTCTGGGCACTTGTACCTGATGTCATCAATGGGCTGATTCTGGAACATTTTCTTCCACTGGGCCCACTTCTCCTTCAGGACTTTCTCTTCCTGCAGACACCCAAGGTGAGATCTCTAGCTTTGGGGTCCCACCCTCAGTACCCCCTCCCACCCACATGCACAGCCAGCCTCACCTGGTGCAGGGGAAATCTGGCTTCAAAGACCCCGTCCTTCACCATCTTCTCAAATGTATCTGGGTGTTCAGAGGCAGGGTAAGCAAGGGTGAGGCTGACCTGATTGCCCACCCCTTGTCCTGCCAACGTCCGCCTGCCTGGCCTGGCCCCTCCTGTCCTTCCATCACCTGCTGTCCTGACCCTCCTGCCCCCACCTACCCTTACCATCATCTGCCGTCGTGCTGTTCAGGATGAAGTTGACAATGCGGATTCTGAAACAAAGAACTCAGGATGACCTACACCTGGGGCCCGTGGGGTCTCCAGCCTTGAACACAGACCCTGTCCTGCTGGGTCCAGCACAGGGACTCTCCAGGTTTCCCTCTCCTCCCAGGACCCACCTCAAGCCCCCGCTCCCCCACTGCCCAGAACCCACACGCCAGCCCACCCTCAAAATGCACTTATCCTCCTTCTGGGGGGACGGAGGCTCAGGCAGGCTGGGAAACTTGTCCAAGCCCACACAGCAAGGAAACAGCAGAGCCCACCTGCCCACAGTCCTCATGCCCCAAGTCCTCCCCACCAAGGACCGCCAGGTCTGTGACCCCCAAGTCCCCTCCCACATTCCACTACCACAGCCTCCTCTGATGGGGCCCATCTGAGCTGGCGAGAGGAGGAAGTGGGGGCAGAAGCCTGTTCGGAGGTTGGGAGAAGCAGGGCAGTCTCGGTGAGGCACTCAGTGTGGAGAGGGAAGGGTCCTGGCCACGGTTCCTCCCACCCTTCCTTGGGTGGGGGACTGTCAGGCCTGCCCTCTGCTCGGGGTCGCGGGGTCCTTTGTGCTCCTGTGGCCAAAACGCCTCCACTGTCCAGGGGGCTCGGCAGCTGTGAGGTACCGCGACCCCCCACTTCCAGGCCAGCAGGGTTGGGAGGACGCTGGCTCAGCATCTCACCGGGTGGTGGTCGGAATGGTGGCCAGGCTGTCTGGCTTTGCCGTGGGGGTGGGATCCTCGGGCTCCAGGAGGAGTGTGCGGTACTTCTCGAAGATGCTGTCTTCAGCTCGGATCCCAAAGAAGACCTTCTTCCCGTCCTCCACCACCTGCGGGGTTGGGGGGTGGCACTGTTCATACCCAAGGCCACCTGCAGGGGGCACTGTTCGCCCCCATGGCCACATGCGGGTTGCCCAGCTTGATCCACCTCAGATTCCTCTCCGGAACCCCCCTCCCCGCCCCTGCAGACACCTGAACATGGAAGCCCTTAGCCTCCAGCTCCTTCTGGAACTGCTGCTGCCTCTGAATCAGCGTGGGCTTCTTCTGGGCGCTGATGTCAGCCACCAGCACATAATCGCATGGTTCAGTGCCCTGGGGTGGAGAAGGAGACAGGAGGGCACAAACCAGGAGCGGGCTTGGGGCAGTGTAGGGGGAACTGGTGGGAGAAAGGTCTGTATGTGTGTGTACACGCACATGTATGTGTGTGAATGTATGCATGCGTGTGGTCACGTGTATGAGTGCTGGTGTGTGTGCATGTCTGTGTATGCACGTGTGTGTGTGTGTGTGTGCTTGTGTGCATGCACGTGCAAGTGCATGTGTGGCAGCTCACCTCATGATTGTTAATTTCCACAAGCGGGAGACTGTCTCCTCCAGTGCCCATCAGGACCTGGAAGCTCTCTTCTTCCTGTGAGAAAGAAGATGCGATGCTGTTGCCTATTTCCTGGACAGAAGCAGGTGAAGACCTGGGCAGTTGCAGGCGGTACTGGGCACCAGGACGGCGTCCAGTAGGTGGGCCTCGGGTGGTAGGCACCAAGACAGGCCAGCAGAGACGTGGCTGAGGCTTCCCAAGGGGCAGGTTGCACTGCCACCTGGTCGGTGAACTGCAGACCTGTGTGCGGCCAGCCTGCGGGGCCCGCGGAGGGCAGGCTTGGGAAACTGAGGCAGCACTGCTCCCCGCAGACACCCGCACAGCGTGCCATGCCCTGGGGAGCACGACTGTCCCCTTGCGTTGGAACCAGCCCGGCCGACCAGACATGACCCTGTTTAGTAAAGTGTGTCCAGGAGAATCACGTGGAAGGATAGGAGGGGGGACCCCAGCAGGACTGAATTTAGGAGCAAGACCTGGGCAGCACCCAAATATAGACCCCACCCCTGGGGCGTGGTATGGTCACATGCAGGCTCCACCTCTGGGGATGTGGTAAATCACAGAAGACTCCACCCCTGGGGCGTGGCAAAACCACAGAAGACTCCACCTTTGAGGCGTGGCAAGCCAAAGACTCCACCCTGGGGCGTGGCACGGCCACAGAAGACTCCAGCCCTAGGGTGTGGCACAACCACAGAAAACTCCACCCCTGAAGGCAAGGCAAATCATAGAAGACTCCACCCCTGGAGCGTGGCACAACCACTTGCAGGCTGCACCCTGGGACTCCACTCTCCAGGGTGCTGTATCAGTCAGTGAGGGAGGGAAAGGGGCTTCTTCTCAGAGAACCCGGATAGGTGCCTGCAAAAAATGCCAAGATGAAGGTAACAGTCATGCCATCTAGAACAGAGTTCCCACATGTTTTGGTCCACCCTGTGACGGGGCAACTGCAGTCTCATAGGAAGGGGGACGGTACCGGCTCGTCCTTCACGCCTTAATGAGGTCACGAGTTGCCCCCCACAAGTGGCTCTCTGGCACAGCTATGGCTCCAGAGGCAAAAGGACTTAATCCAGAGCCCAGCACCTTGTGGCAGAAAAGTGAATGGACCACGCGTTAAACTAAGGTGCCATGCCTCCCCGGGAGGGAAAGGGTGTTAGTCCCTTCTGCCTTCACCCACCCCCCGCAGCAAGATGGCTGCCACCTCAGAGCTTATAGGAAAGCCAGGTATGAGCTGGCGATGGCAGGGCAACTGCAGTCTCATGGGAAGAGGGGCGGTACCGACTCGTCCTTCACGCCCTACCAAGGTCACAAGTTGCCCCCCACAAGCAGCTCTCTGGCACAGCCATAACACCAGACGCACAGAAACCAATCTCGTGATTATATGGCTCTTTGCAGAAATCCAGAATCGCGGCCACGTGATATTATATGATTCTCATAACCAGCTATAGAAAACAATGCCTTTTCAGCAATTCTGATTGTTGGGGGGGGGGGAAATTCTAAACAATAATGGTGCATCTTTTGTCAAAATAATGAATGTAATCAATGTAGAGAAGAGTTAAGTAGAAATCATCTACCTCACAGGCATTGGGAGGGTTGGGAGGGGGGTATATTGGGGTTCTTGGTGGTGAAATATGAGTACTGGTGAAGGGAAAGGTGTTTGATCATTGTATGACCGAGACAAACCTGAAAGCTTAGTAACTTTTCCCACAGTGATTCAATAAATAAATATTAGAAAGAAAAAATAAATAAATAAATTATGAAAAAAGAAGTAAGGTGGAGTTCATGCCCAATTCAATCAACTAATCAGTGGCTGAATAAACAGCAGTACTCCTACATAAAAGAAAAAGTCACCCTGAAAATCTACTTGTTTTCAGTGGGCCCCTGCACTTTGTGTTCTGCCCAGCGTGGTATTGCCCATTCTGGGGCACCCCGACAGATGCCTGAGGCCCCCTGACAAGATAGAATGTGACAGCGTGTGGTCCTCCCTGAAGCCGCAGGGCAGCCTCAGCAGCACAGGTTGCCCAGGGGTTTACTCTAGAGCCTGCAGGGCCAAGGAGCCAGAGACAAAGCCTCAATAGTCACATGCACTGTGGTTAGCTCACATGCGGCCAGCAGGGCCTCTGCACCCGTGCTCATGGCACTGAGCTCAGGGAACCCAGGGAACCCCCTTACTGTTTTTCTTTTTGTTGTGTTTTGCTTGAGGGCCACACTGGGCTACTTGGGGGCCACTCCTGCTGGTGTGTATGGCAATACGTGGGGGCCACACGTGATGCCAGGATTCAAACCAGAGCTGTGGCAGCAGCTGCATGCGAGGCCAGTGCCCTGACTCTGCACTGTCTGCCCCCTCACTGTAGTTCATAAAGACCCACACCCAGCAGTGCTTGTGCTTACGTGTTGCACTGCCACCTGCAAGACCCCTGGGGACGGGGTGCCCATGGGCTGGAGCAATAGCACAACAGGTAGGGAGCTGCCCTTGCAGGCTGCCGACCTGGGCTTGATCCCCGGCACTGCAGAGGGCCCTGTGCTCTCCTGACGATAGCCTGGTGTGCCCCCGCACCCACAGTGATGTGCTCTGTGGATGATGATGTGGCCCATGGACAGTCAAGCCCTGTGGACAGTGTGCCCCATGGGTGGTGTCCTTTGGGTTTCATTGCCCCTCGGAGCAGATGGAAGACTTCAGAGCTGAGACCGTTGCCCCCAAGCCCCTTTCCTGGGGGAGCCCAGCAGCTAAGGAGAGCTTTCAGGGAGCTGCGGACCCTGGTGCTGGAGGAGGCGGCTGTGGGCAGCCAATGCCTGAGCTGCATATCTCCCTCTAGTTCCAGGTGAGGTCATCAGCCTGAGGGGCAGATGCCATCCTGGAGCCAAGGTCGCCGGTGACGGAACCGGTACCAGCAGGCAGTCCTCCTGGGAGGCTCAGATGCTACAGGGCTCCCGGGGCTGGGGGCTCTCTGGGGCCTCCCCCCACAGCCCGGCTGTCCCCCAGGCCTCATGGCACCTCCACCCCAGCCCTGACCCTGCTGCCCACCTCCTGCTCACTGCCTGGTTGCACCCAGCTGGCATCCCCTGCCCTCCTTCCCGCCCGCCCTCGAAACCACATTCCTCCGCCTGCTCCAGCCCGTCTCCCCGGGGCTGCCAGGACAAGGCTGCTCAGATGAACAGCAGGGATGCCTGGCGGAGGTCGTCCTAGTGACAGCAGGCTCGAGGGACATCGTGCTCTGGGCAGCTCGGGGTCTTGTCCTGGTGTCTCCCTGAACCTGCAGCCTTCGCTCTTGCCCCACACGCCGGGACGAGCAGCTCCAGAGGAGGCTGCCCCCACCCCACTTGAACAAGGCCCTGGACATGGGAATTCAGCCAGGACAGCAGGCGGCAAGGCGATGCTGCCCCACTTCCCAGGCTCTGCCCTGGCTCACCCTCCGGTCTCTCGGGCACTCCCTTTGCTCTCACAGCCCACGGACACCTGCTCTCAGGTGTGGCTCCATACCTGAAACTCCTGCCATCTAGGCCAGAGGAGGAGCCTGCCCTCCCTGGGCCCAGCATCAGGGGCTCCACGACCCTGTCCCTAGGACCACTCTGGTTTTGCCAGACCCCAAGGAAGAGTCCCAGGACTGACCCTCCTGGCAAGACTGCCAGGACCCCCCGACACTGCTGAGGGCTATGGCCAAGGAGGGGTCAGCTTGGCTGGGCAGCAGGTGGAGTGAACAGGAGGCTGGGCTCAGGGAACCAACCATGGGGTGCCCAGGTCGGGGTGGACACCCTCAGCAGTGGGGTTCCAGGAGTGGCCATGTCTAGCTGGAGCCCCATCCCACACAGCTGTGGTGGGTCAGTGCCCAGCCCCTCGGGAAGTTGGCCTCTCTGGGGCTGGCCTGTGGCCTGGACCAGCGGGCAGAGAAGAAACCCAAGAGCCTCCTGGACACTGACCCCGTCTTCAGTCAAGTCAAGGGACAGGGCCAGGCTCCCCGGGGCAGCATGCACTGCACTGAGATTCTGCTCCTTCTGCCTCCACCCCTGGACCACGCACAGTCTCCTGGTCAGGGACTCGGCCCCGGAGCACCCCAGCCGCCCTGAGCCTCAGGCTCCAGGTTAGGCTGTTTCCTGTCCCTCTGTCCAGCCACCATCTGTCCTCCAGGATGAGGCCTTCCTGGTGGCACCCACCCCCCATTCACAGGGTTCTGGGGACATGGTGTTTACGCAAGTCCCACTCAGGGTGCCATCCCAGCCACCAGTGGGACCAGAGGTGCTCGTGCAAGCATGCCTGCCTCAGCCTCAGGCCAGAACCAGCTGGAGGCACCCTCCATACACACTGGGGGACACTTTCCAGACCCACTCCACACCCTAGCCCGCCCCCAGGATCCTCCTGGTCTCCTGCGGAGGTCCCAGCTCTACCCTCTTCCACCCAGGGGCCTCCAACCACCCCCAGGTCAAAACACAGGCCCGTCATCACTGGGTCTCCCTCCATCCCTCCTTGAGTGTCCCGCTGTCTGCACCCCTTCTGTCTCCGTCTTTCTGTCCCCGGTACTCCCCGTTCTGCAGGGATCAATAGGCAGAGCACCTGCAGCGGAGCCTGGAGCTCCATGGGAGGCAAAGAAAGGTGGCCTGAGGGACAGCGAGTTATTGATGTCCAGGGACTCAGTATTTAATGCTCCCAGGGACTTAGCACTCAACACCACCAAGGACTCAATAGTTAGTGGTCCCAGGGACTCTCCCACTCTCTCTCATTCACTCTCATCACCTCACACTCTGTCACTCTCATTCTCGCATTCATTCACTCTTACCCTCACACTTTCTCACCATCACTGACCATTCATTCATTCATTCACTCTCACTGATACTCATTCACTCCCTTCCTCTCACTTTCCTTCATTCATTCATTCATTCATTCTCTCTCACTCGTTTACTCTCTCTCACTCTTACTTTCACTCCTCTCAGGTCTCCAGGCCCTGGCCAAGAGACCCACCTCTCCCTGACTTGACCCACCCCCTCAGGTGAGAGCACCTGGATGCCACAGCCCTGCCCCCAGGGCAGCTGAAGGTGTGGAGCCCTGTGCTGGCTGGGACCCTGGGGCGGGCATCTCTGCCTGTCCAGGCCCCACACGCTCCCCGATAGCCTCGGGAGGGAGGGACCGGAGCTGGGTGCTGCCCCGAGCCCCTGCCAGCAGACACCTGAGTGGCCCTCTTCACCACGGCACAGTCCAGTGGCTCCCGGCAGCGCCCTCACCTGCTTTCTGGTGCGCAGCATGGCATCGGCCCGGGGGCTGCAGGTGGAGAGGCGCCCAGCACGCTCCCTACCTGACTTCCGCCCTCCCAGCCCGCCTCCTGCCCCGCCTCCCGCGGTGCCACCGCCCAGCTCAGGGTGGCACCCGGGCGGGACCCGCCCCTCACCTGCAGGCCTTCCCTGGGAGATGGGCTTCCCAGCCCGGTGGGGGGGGCGGGGGGGAGAGGGTGGAGCCCAGAACTCACCTTCCCAGGTCGCCTCATCAGGTTCTCCTAGAGGAGAAACACACAGACCTCCGGGAACTCCTTCCCACCCCAGGCCTGGCTTTGTGAACCCCAGCTAGCACCTCTGTCCTTGAGGCCCTGGGAGGTGTGGCCGGCCCAGCTGCCTGGAGGAGAGACGGAGAACACAGCCTTGCCTAGTTGGGTCCAGGGCAGCCTACGCCTAGGACTCCGGGCCATCAGAGTGGCTGTGGCAGGGAGACAGCGGCTGTCCCTGTTAGGGGGCGGATCGTGATCTCCCTTTAATGACAAAGAGACTGCAAACAGCAAGCAAGGTTTATTGTGAGACTGGCTAGCCAGGGTCAAGCCGCCTACACAGACACACAGGTCAGTTAGGTGAGGCAAGACCCCGAACTTCTTCAAAGGGGATCTTATATAGGCCTTCACTGGCCGTTACAGCAAAGCCCGCGCATTTCATAGCCAATAGATTTGTAGCAACATATACTTTCTTAACCAATCCATTTAAAAGTACATCACTCCTTAGCCTATAGATTCGAAGATCAGCATTTACATACATAGGCATTGTGGCTAGTGGGCATCTGGTAACTGGGACATTTGGTTATCACCTGGCTTCCTTTGATTCTCAGCCCTGCATTCCAGTGATGGTGGATAAGGGAAGAGTTCCTAAGGGAGGTAACAGATAAGGAGGGCCCAACAAGTGGTTCCAGAATTTGCATTCCAATAGGGAATGGTTTCACTCTAAAGCTCTGCTAGGGGGGCTGGAGCAATAGCACAGCGGGTAGGGCGTTTGCCTTGTACGCAGCCAACATGACCAACACAGGTTCAATTCCCAGCACCCCATATGGTCCCCTGAGCACCGCCAGGGGCAATTCCTGAGTGCATGAGCCAGGAGTAACCCCTGAGCATCGCCGGGTGTGACCCAAAAAAGCAAAAAAAAAAAAAAAAAAAAAAGCTCTGCTAGGGAGGGGGCAGGAAAGGGAGAGTTAAAATTTATAGAGTTTTAACTCTGGAATCTCCCTCAGGGTCCCTAGGGACCTAACAGTCCCCACAAGGGCACACGGGCCCCAAGGAGCTGACACTCAGGCATGGACAGGGCTGGAGGCAGGGAGCACCACAGTGTCCCAGGACAGGGAGCACCACAGTTTCACGGGACAGGGAGTACACACAGTGTCTCAGGACAGGGAGCACCATAGTATCACAGGACAGGGAGCGCCCACAGTGTCACAGAACAGGGAGCACCACTGTGTCACGGGACAGGGAGTACCCACAGTTTCGCAGGACAGGGAGCACCACAGTGTCACAGGACAGGGAGCACTACAGTAACACGGGTATGGCATTATGCAGCTCCTTGCAATCCTGCCTGATCAGATGTGGTCTGACATGGGTCAGCTCTGATTTCCCCGGGGATAACATGCTGTCCCCACGGCAGGCTGTGACTTCAGCAGGGACCAGAACTGAATTGGGAGGTGCTGGAGGTAGGAGGAAGCTGACAGCACAGCATCAAGCAGCTTGTGAGACATTCCCAACAGAAGCTTCAGATGGGGCGAGGGAGGCCCGAGTGTGCTTCAAGTTAGCCGTGCGTATGTTTGCTCTTGAGTGGGGTCCAGAGCTCCTCATCCAGGTAGGGGGTGGGCTTGTGGCTCTGCTCCCACCACTTGGTCCAGAATGGCTGCTCTGGCAGCA